CCCCCCCCTGCCCCTCTTCCGCCGGTTGTGGGGCGCCAAAAATCCCCTCCCCCAAAACACCCCCCCCCCCCCCCCCCCCCCCCCCCCCCGGGGGGGGGGGGGGGGGGGGGGGGGGGGGAGCGCGGACTGGATATCACTTTTCTCGCTATATACTTCAACACTCATTTTCAATCGTGTTTCATAAAAACCTCTTTTTAACTGTCTGACTTACTGTTTCATCGCTCAAAAAACCATTGGTTCTCGAAATTTCTTTCCGGGTGTTTCATGGCTTAAAAAAATCACACAATTTGGAAATATTTGGCATTCTGTATCATGGATTAATAACATCGCTCCAAATATCTGCTTTCTCAAATTTTTCTGTTGTTTTGCATTATGTATGATGAATTAAAAAACCTCCTGACATGGTATGTTATGGATAAAAAATGGTAGTATCTTGAACAGTCTAACATAGTGTGTGACGGCTTCAAAAAACTATCATTTTAGCGAGAGAGAAAAAGCATTATGTATCGTGAAGTAACTTGAAGTAGAGTTAAAGTAGCCGTGAAGTAGCTTGAGTAGATTTCTACTGTTTTCGAAATAGTTTTTCGACTAGCTCGATCGAGATATGACTTTCGACTTACTCGATTAGGCGACAGTTTTTGACATGATTTTCGACTTGGCGGTTACGTTACTCGAAAACCATTTCGAGAACCCTATCTCGATCAACTTTGTCGAAAACTCTGAAAGATCTTATCTCGATCAAGTAAGTCGAAAAGCATCTCGAAAACCCGACCTTAATCAACTTACGAGGGAGGTCCCTAAATTATTAAAAGTTTTGAACCCATATTTTGCCCAGTAGTAGGAGATCGATCGACTAAAACATCCGCCAAAGGGTTCGTGGTGACGTTAAGAGTTGACCGAGATATTGACTTTTTAGTCGATCTTCCCTCTATGGATCCGATTTTTCGATAAAATCCTGTTGTCGAATTTTGCTTGAAAACTTTGCCCAGATGAAGGTCTCAGTGATACTCGCTTATGCTCAAAAATTTCAGAAGTTGCCGATCGAGTGTCTCTGAGATATGCATTTTCCAAAATATGCATGTTTTACATGGTATCGATGGAAAAACGCCTAAAGTCTAAAAAATGCATATCACACTCGATCGAAAACTTCTAAAATTTCGTGCATAAGCTAGTCTCATTGAGACCTTTATCTGGGCAAAGTTTTCAGGCAAAAATTCGACAACAGGATTTTATCGAAAAATCGGATCCATAGAGGGAAGATCGACTAAAAAGTCAATATCTCGGTCAAATCTTAACCTTTGGAGGGTATTTTAGTCGATCAACCCCCTACCATTGGGCAAAATATGGGCACAAAAGCTTTTAAACATCTGGGAACCTTCGTCAGTAGAAAGATATGTCGAAATCCTATCTCGATCAAGTGAGTCGAAATCTTCATAAAAGCCCTGTCTTGTTTGAGTTAGTCGAAAAACATCTTGAAAATCTTATCTCGACTAAGTAAGTTGAAAAGCATCTTGAAAAACCTACCTTGGTCACCGTGGTCACCTTAGTCGAAAACTACCTCGAAAAAACGTATCTCGACCGAGTTAGTCGAAAGCCATCTCCAAAACCCTATTTCGATCACCTAAATCAAACCTACGCCTAGCTTGAAGTAGATTAAAGTAGCTTTGAAGTAGCGTTGAGGTATCGTGAAGTAGAGTGAAGTACCATTGAAATAGAATGAAATAGCGTGAAGTAGCTGAAGTATTGAATTAATGCTTGTTCCTTCTTGTCATTTTACAGGGTGCCACTAAATAAACGGAACACCTACATCTATCTTGTTTTAAACGCTTTTTCTCTACAAATTTTTATTCAAAGCCTAGCAAAACAACAGAAACAACAATAAATAACTGAATAACTGCATCTCTCAAATTTCGTTTCATATTTATACTAAAAAATAAAAATATAATCAAATTTGTTGAGAAAAAGCGTTTAAAACAAGATAGATGTAGGTGTTCCGTTTATTTAGTGGCAGGGTGTAGTATTCATTTCGACTCAGCGCACTGCATAGCAACGAGCGAAATGGTTTTTTAAAATGGATCTCAGACAGACATTTATGGTTTTATTTACGGATTTCAGACTCTAGCCTTTCAGTCTAGGAATATATTTGATTATATCATATTAAAGCAATCCATGATAGTGTAGTTTTTTTAAGAAAATCACAGATGCACTTTTATAGTCAAACGAGTTCAATCAATATACATGCCATCCACTAGAAACGTTGTAAATATTATTTATAGGTTGATTGACTGAAAGTACCTATCATTTGATTTATTTGTTTAATAATATAGAAGAAAATGTGAACGAAAATTAATTTTTTTGTTTGTTGTTTCAGACAAGATAAAGAATTATTGGATAATCTGTTTCTTCAAAGACATTTGTTATCTTTAGTGTTTATATTTACTTTGAAATATGAGTCTCAATGTTAAATGAGTACTCGTGAGTAATTTCATTGACGAAATAAATAACTAGTTGAAAATAGACGGTAATTGACATAAGTACTTCTTCTTTCGTTCTCTGGTTACTACAAAAAAGTGTGTGCATACTGAAGGTGAGCGCACTTATCACTTTTCACGGCAGAAAAGTGCGCACTCGAGTTCTACTTTTATTCCAGTTTTTTATGTTAATGACGTTGTTCTCTCGTTTATTATTATCAATTGGCTTAATGATCTGTCCCATTGTGTATATAATGCAACGATTTCGTCAGTCGTTTAAGTAAAATCACAATGTTGACCGTTACACTTTCTGTGTTATTATCTTTACTATCAAATACAAACTCTCAAATTATTCCACTACGATTTGATTTAGCAATTAATCGTTTACTACAATATCAACATTTTTCACTCGCCAATCTAATTAAAGATGTAGATTATAATCTCACACCTGAACAAATGTTAGAATATATGTCTTTGTCATTATCGAATAACGAGACTAGTCCATGTGAACGAGACTTTGAAATAACTCTTCAAGCAGCATTAAACCGTCATACATGGGCACTCAAAGTATTCGATGCTTGGGGCAAACCATTACCTTCTGGTATACTCAAAGGTAATGTTTATTGGGTGGGGAATTATGATGAATGTATACGTCCGATGTATGATTCAGCAAATAAATCATTCATATCCCAACCATTCAATACACAACATTGTACGTATGTTCATCTTATTGGAGAATACATTTGAAAGTTTCGTTTTTAGGTACTCTTGTACCACCAGCATCTCAATCCAATTCGAATTCGATTTCAAATTCAATAGCTTCTCTTGTTTTTGGTCTTTGTGTTCCCTCCTCATGTGATAAACAATCAGTCGCCTCTTTAATTCATACACTTTTCGAACAAAATAATATTACTCAAGATAATCTTGTTTGTTCAAACGATCCACCGAATGGACAAAAAGGTCTTACAAATGGAGCAATAGTAACGATTGTTATTCTTTCACTTTTGGGTTTACTTGTTCTCATTGGAACAATCATTGATCTTATTCTTATGTCGAAACTTAATTCAGTTGGTAATCTAACAATACATAATGATGCATATAATCAAGATGAAGGTGAAATGACCAGTCAACCTGAATCACGTGTAACATCAAAATATTTTTCTCTTAATCTAACATCACGAACAGTTTTTCTAGCTGATTTTTCTGCATTAAAATCGCTCCGTCGAATATTTACAATCAAAGAAAAATCTAGTGGTGATAAGAATGACTCATTTTTGTTTATTAATGGTATTCGTGTATTATCTTTATTTTGGATAATTATTGCTCATTCATTACTTTATGGTTTATCTTATACAAGTAATGTAACAGATATTCTTATTTCGAAACGTAATATAGCATTTCAATTAGTATCAAGTGCTCAATTTAGTGTTGATACATTTTTTGTTCTAAGTGGTTTTTTAACTGCAATTTTATTTGTTCGCCATGTGAAGAAAGAAGGGAAACTATCGTTTCGTTTAATGTTTCTTTATTATATTCATCGATATATTCGATTAACACCAGCATTTCTGCTAATGGTTCTTGTTAGTATTAATTTAACACCATATTTTGGACAAGGACCAGTATATCCAATTGAACAAGGATTTGAATCGAAAGGTTGTCGTACACGATATTGGTGGACATCGATTCTTTATGTTGGTAATATAGTAAGACCAGATGATATGTGTTTAAATATTGCATGGTATCTACATAATGATATGCAATTTCATTGGATTGCACCATTAACTTTAATTCCATTTACTCTTGGACGAAAGACATTATCTTTTATTATTGCTACGCTTTTTGTTTTCGTTGGAATTGGATCAATTTTAAGTATTCTTCTTTATTATCCGAATATGTCACTCAATGATCCAACTGGTTTAACTAATAATGTAAGGTTTTTATAGTGAGCAATGCTGATAATCCCGTTGTTTTTTTTGTCATAGGGTGGTGGTGGTCCGACTTTCTACAAAACTGTTTATGTTACACCTTGGTGTCGTATATCTGCATATGCTGTTGGACTTTTAACTGGATATATAATTATAATTACTGGTCGTCAAGATAGAATTAATAGATGCAGTAAAATTATTGGAACTATTCTAGTTATTATCATTTGTTTGGCGTGTCTATTTACGACTTATCCTGATAGTATTCATGTACCAGGTCTAAGTCGACCAGTAATTGTAGCATATGTATCACTTTCGCGAACATTTTGGTCAATTGTTATTGGTTGGCTTTTATTTTTATGTAGCACAAATCAAGGTGGAATAGTAAATGAGATATTGTCTTGGCCTATTTGGATTCCATTAGCTCGACTTAATTATTCATGCTATTTAGTTCATACTATGATACTTCATATTATTATATTCAATCAAACTATGCCTTTCTATTATCAAGGACATCTCGTAATAAATAATTTTATTGCACATATATTTTTTAGTTACGTTGCAGCTATATTAGTTGCTATTTTTTTTGAGACACCATTTTTTATTGTCGAAAAAAAATTGTTTAAACGATAAATGAAATTTGTTGAAATAAAAATGTTAAGTTTGTGTTTTAATACTAAGTTTATTAAAAGTTATTAGAATAATTCATAGATTTCTATAGATGAGTAACTAAACAAAATATTCAATATTAAAATGATCATGAGTGCCTTGTCATATTATTATTTTGCTAAGCGTTGTTTAAGTTCGGTTAAGTTATCAAAACAGAAAATAATCCACCATTATTAAATTATTCTAATCTTCTAATTATTGCTAAACGAGACATACTAAAAGCTACAATTCCACTGCACGTATATACTGAAGTGAGTGAATGAATTTTCACCAGTTTATTCACTAGTATTCTTTTCATCTCTATCAACGTGTGACAGAAAACCGTGAATGCCTAAATCCTATTTTATTATCACTAGTGAGTAAAACGAACTATGGCAAGTTTAAGACCGTTTTTATATTTCATTCTCTCTTTGTCTTTTTGTGAATACATTCTGTGCATTCAACCACTTTCGAATATGTAACTACTGAAAGTCTTGGACTATCAACATCACTACAAGCACAAACTATAATATCTAATTCATCTAATGCTAATCGAAAATGATTTAGCAATATAAAAGTGGCACGATGGACAATTGTTTTTGTTATAAGCTTATTTTTGGCCTTACATACATTAATAGTGCAGTCTATAGTAATATAACCTATTTTTATAACAGTTGAACATACCATAGGGAGTTGAACTAACGATTTCGATATGGTTGTTCCACAAAACAGTTCAGCAGCAACTGAGCAACATAAAGGCAGTTGAAAAATCGAACAATTTGTTTGTGAAGTAATCTTTTTATGCTGATCTAGTGAATCATCTGTAAGACTACGATTCATTGGGTCCTGTATACCACTTACCATATTCATAATAATTAATAAAAAGCCATATCGAAATTACAGTTTTGCAAGAAGGAGATAGTTGTTTCATCAACAAGCTGTTCGTTAGTTCAACTCCCTATAATATGCTCAGTTGTTGATGACTTGTGCTATGAAAACACATTATCGATACTGCCGTTTATTAAAGCGCAAACGAATTCTATTATAGTCCCTGCTGCAGCACGCTAGTTGTAACATTGGTTCATTGGTACATGACATGGCTCATTGGTACATATTTGTACCATCAAATGGAATCCAACCGTTTGGTAAGTTATAGCACTATTTTATTTTTGGCTTAATCATACATCATTCGATAGAGAATTTTACGCTGATTATAATCTTTCTGGAATTTGGAAAAGAGGACGTCCTCTTCTGACACTTCTTCTTTATGTCACTGTTAAGACCACGATGAATCAACGTTTAGAAGTGGCGAAATATCCCCAGAGAGGTGGATAATGGACGATACGGCTCTATTTTATTCAAAAGGCTGAGGGCGACGTCATATGCTGTCAAAGTTCATCGTGATACACCCCAGTTCACCATTATTTCATTTAAGTGAAAATGAATATAAACTGGCCTTACGAAAGTAGCCTGAATTAACAAATGAATTTGACATTCAATACGATAAATTTTCAGCATCGGCTTGTATTAATATAGTAAGGGATCCGTCTTTTGATAATATTACCATCATCGGTCAATTTGAACGTTTATTCAAAATGTTTAAATTTCAGAAAGATTATAAACATCACCAAATCTACGTGTTAGTAGACAATGTCCAGACACACACTGTCCGGGAAATGTAAATTAGCTAAAGGTCCAAAGAGGATCCTGAAGTTTTTCTCCAGACTTTTTAATATACTTCAAGCTGGAGAGAGTCCGGGTTTGGTTTATTTTAAACTAGACACCTAACTACATGGACTGACCGGTGCCAGTTTTCCACTGAAGCTTTTGTTGGTTTTCCAAACAACCAACACCCTCCAAAACCCGAAGATTGCTTCCGAGTTTTCTAAAAACTCTCAGTTTGAGAAAAAACACAATTGCGGCTGCAACACCCTTAACTTGGCTTACCATGATTAAGAGTTTATTATAAATATAATCTACAATATTTTCTTCAATGTTTGTCATTGTTGAAATTTTGTACATTGTTTCTTGGTCAAAATCTAAGATAAGTCGCGAAAATTTCATTAAAATCAATCAACCAGGAGCCGAATTATTCAAAAACGTACATATAATCACTAATGAGTGTGACGGACGTACGTACATTCCATGTTCGTTGGTTTTTGCTAAGGTGCTTACTTATGGGGAAAGAAACAGCTTCTTGTTTCGAATAAGAACTATCTGAATATAAGGCTTTGTAGTGGAGAAAAAACTCTACAAAACAGGAGTCATGCCTGTTTTTCTAGGGCATTTATACTTAAATATGCACTTGAGTTGCAAAAAGATGTCTCAACTTCGTGGTTTACCATAGGTATTAGATGTAAGGCAGTGAACGCTTCTAAAATATCCTATTCGATGCAGTTTTATTCGTAGATTACAAATATGGTATTAGTTTTTATTAGAAGCGGTAAATTAGTGAAAAAAATCGAATTTTTCATTTTTCATGGATGCAGAAAAACTTCATATTTTTGAAAAACAACTTTTTTCACCAGTTGGGATAAAAACAATATGTGACTTTTATTGTCTAAATCTGAATCTTATTCAAAGGCGCAATTTTTAAGCTCAAAACTGGAGATAGGTTATTTTTAAAACACGAGATAAATTAATTTTAAGGTGCGAAACACCTGTTTTCCTGCAGAACGCCTATACTTCGAAACTCTACTTTTTCTCTCCTAATGGTGCAAGCAAAAAACCCAAAACACCAGTCGATGGGTCTTTGCTTCCTCCACCCAACTGTATGCATTTCATTCTGTTTGAAAGGGGCCGATACTATACGAAAAAACGACAAGGTCCTTTAATCCTCGTACTATTTGACAACTCTGTTATGACCCGATGCTCCTTTAAGTTTTATTTTCACGAATATCTTATTTGCATACAAACATATTTTGAAGAAAAATAAGTTTTATGGAATTGTTGAGATGATTGCTTATTGACTCATTTATTCAGAAGACATAGTAAAAGCACTGACACGGTCAAAGACATGACCGTTACATGCTTTTAAACTTTCTAATAATTACGAATCGTTTTTACTTACCTGTATAGAAAGTTCCATTGGTTACCTGAAGAATGCACAAAACACGCTGTGGCTCAAGTTTTGGCGATAATTTCATTCGATAAATCAAACTAACTATATCTTTGAATGATGAAAATGATTTAAATCGTGAATCAAATGTGTATTCACATAATTTGTCAAACCATGGTTGTATACAATTATGTTATATTTGAAGACTTGCTGGATTCGATGACAATGATGATTCAAGAAGATAAATCTGATACTTTTCTATAATATCTATGAAAGCTGACCATTGTAATAAATTCTTACTTGTTACATTGAGTTGTTTTAATCGTTCGAATGCGAATGGTGTACCACTATCAATCGTCCTATTTTTACCATCATCATCCTTGGCTGTTCCAATTAATCTCATACAAAACGGGATTAACGTACTTTCTCCTAAATCCTGACTATTCTTGAAGCTTTCAAAGAAATATAAACAATTATGTACAACCATTGGTTGATTATTGACGATAATAAAATGATCACTATTGTAAAAATTGAAATTTGTACAACAGTTAGTAATAAATGAAAACAATAATAATAATACAAACATCATTTTAAAACTATCTATATAGATTATTGATGAGTGACCATTAGGACTGTTAATTCTTTGTTTGTAACAATGCTTCTTTTAATAATTTTATATGTTAAAGTATTTTTAAAAGACCTACAGATGAAGTACAATACAAAAATAAATTCATTTTTTGCCAACTTTCGTTATATTCTCGTACTATCAACAGGCAAATTGTTTCATTACACAAATTAGAAAAATACATTAAACCAACATATGACGATTCACGCTTACTAATTTCTCCTGTCACGATACTATCACTACAAATCTTTTTCATTTCCTTCATTTAAAACATATCGATCCTAAATGAAATGTTACTTAGTTTGTGTAATGGAATAAAATTTGCCTAATGATGGTATGAGAATACAGAGAAACACTTACACAGAATCATATTCTATTTCATCTTTAACGATACCACTTTGCCTTTTGTTGGAATTACTAACGTACTAAACTATATTTTTGCAGTTTGTCTCTTTTATTAAATAAATTAGAACCGGTTTGTATTCAAAAGTCTCTTTATCGCTGAAAATACAACTTTTACAGCTGCAAGGTGAACCAGATTCGTCAATAAAAGGTGCGATACACATCATTGCGTCCGTGTCATCGAGATCTATCAAATAGTGTATCATACTTATACTTTTGTGTCATACGAAAAAATTTTTCTACGTATAACCTCAGGGATTTCTAAAGTATTTCGAAAAACTCTCCTATCTCACCCATCTTGATAGTGGCAGTCCGAAACCTTTTTTCCTGCTCTCCTCTTATATAGTGCAACGAAATGTACGATCCTTGTGGATATATTCATGATACACCCAGAGGACTTTTTACACGATGATCTATGTGAAAACGGTGTAACTTGTGGCCCAGATACGTTGATGATACATTCGCGATGGTTGACGCAAATACATCTATTAATGATGTTCTATCGGCGCCGAACAGCTTTCTTCCTAGTATTAATTTCAGATTTAAAACAGAAAGCGATAGGTCTCTGTCTTTTCTTAATGTTATTATGCCACGAACTGCGTCTGATTCAACAAGCATCTATAGGAAATTTACTTTCACATGTTTAATTACGAACATCCCTAGACAAAATGTTTTTGCTAAAACTGATAGGATTCTTATAAGAATCTTATCAGTTTCTTATATAAGATTGTTTAAGCTTTCCCATTGACAGCCGTAAGTGTCGTATAAGAATCTTATAAGATTTTCATAAGAGGCTCATAAGAAAAACATAAGAAGGACCAAAAATTCTTATGTTATTAATATCTACTAGAAGGCGTCTTATGAGTCGGCTTTTACGATTTCTGTTATGATTA